CCGTGCAAAATATTACAAAATGCTATTTACTTATTATCATAATCCAATGTGACAATATCAGTCTTATCTTCAAATTTGTATATAAAAGTTTGCCTGTAAGGTTAGGCAAGCCGTCTATTACGTTGATAGTATAAGATGTTGATTTCGCAAAGCTCTTATGTACAGTAAACATATATCACTGGGGGGTATCGTGATGCAACAACACCGTGTTGTTGCATCAAGATGGCCAGACTTCCGGTGATCGATTTTCGTACGATGTTTTGTTTTCCCGATTTAAACCCATTTCTAGGACGAGTTGCTCAATGATCATACACATGCAGTTAGCCCATGATCTATATTTTAAAAAACTGTCATTGGTATACATGTAGCATCATCAAGAAGCGATAAATTCGTGGTTTTAATTCCTCACTATTGATGCGACAACACCACTCTGTTTCTTATCGATGATGCAACAACACCAATGTGCTGATGCAAAAACGCCAATATAATGTATCATTGAACAACAAGATAAACTATTTTATGTTCTGTTTACAGGTGTAGGTCGGGACATGAATAAAACGCGTGAGTCAGTGGTCCATGAACGAAACGTATTTTGTTTGGTTTCTTTGTCTATATCAAAGTTAAAAGGATATACAAGGCAAACTAAATAAAGTACAGAATCCCCGGGAGGCAATCTCATTGATGTTGTATCTGAAAAATAAAGATTATACATTTCTAAATTAAATACCCTTGATTTACCGTATGGAAATTGCTTACAAATAACTAATATAATTTTGGAAAGACAACAGATATCAGTCATTTTGTGTTGTTAGTACCTCAATTGAAATACTCAATTCACTGAAATATTCGATTCTGATTGGGTGATTAGCGGTCAAAATTATGTACTGTTGACCGCTACTAGGTACTGTTGACCGCTACTTCTGAAAAAAAGTTTCATGACGTCACAAAAAATATGGAAGACGGACATTTTGTAAACGTTGATGAAAATTACTTTACTAGGCGACAAGTATAGGCAAAAATACAAATAGAAACTTAAAATCAACATTAATTCACTAACGAGTACGCCGTGATGTGCCAAATACAGAGTTAAGCTACTTGCACTGTCTCCATATATTCTGAAAGAAATATTGCTAATATAACGTGGTTCGGAGAAAAGGTTGTGAAATATAGATTGATGATTGTCGTCTCTCGTATATATGTATTATTAGTTTACTCGGACTAACAAAACAATTGTAGACCTCTCCATTCGATCAACCGTCAAAATCATATACCTCGACTGTAAACCTTGAAACTACTGTTGACCTCGACCTTCGGTCTCTGTCAACAGTAGTTTTTCGGTTTACAGTCTCGGTATACAATTTTGCCGGTTGGCCTCTGGGGAGGTCAACAATTGTAAACTGTTGACCACTATTTTTGAAAAATTGTTTTTTTAATGTTGAAATTTTTTTAATTTTGAAAAAATAAGTGTGTAAAAAATTACAAGTATTCGACGGTTTGGGGATTTTTTTTCTAAAATATGATACCTTTATCAAATATGTTCACGTGATATTCGATTATATATTCGTCCAATTATTATATTATTTGGACTAACAGAACAATTGTTAACCTCTCTTTTCGGTCAACTGGCAAAAGTGTCCTCGACCTCTGGTCTTGATCAACAGTACTTTCAAGGTTTACAGTATCGGTATACAATTTTGCCAGTTGACCTTAAGAGAGGTCTACAATTGTATATTATATCCTTCAAATTATTATTCTTTCGGACTAACAAATAATTGTAAACTTCTCTATTCGGTCAACTGGCCAAAGTGTATACCTCAACAGTAAACCCTGAGAGTACTGTTGACCTCGACCTCCGAACTTTCAAGGATTACAGTATCGGTATACAATTTTGCCAGTTGACCTCAAGAGAGGTCTACAATTGTATATTGTATATCCTTTGTTATCCCACCCAAAGTATGATGTCATATATCAAGCTGAAGAGTTGTATACGCTGCTCAGGAGTTTACGCTATCCGGGAGTTGTACATCGTTCTCAAGAGTTGTATAGGATGACTGTTGGTTTAGTGACATTGCAGTTATACAATGCTATTATATAAAGATTATTTACTGAGAGGGATTCAATATTGGTTTTATTTCGAGAGACAATATGATATTTCCCGAGGGCCCGGGATATCTGGGATAACTGTACCCCTATCAATTTACCTTTTTGGGCCCTAAATCTTTTTGTTCACTTTTGTTTACCTTTTTACTCAGTCGGAGAGAAGGAATCCAAAGAGAGCAATAATTCTACATGTGCGTCGTGCAAGATTTCCATTAAACGTGTAACTAAACGGCCTCTCTAATAAAGTCAATTAGACATTTTTACACGTTGGCTCTCCAAATTGGAGGAAATAAAGAATCATATCATATTATATCATAGATGAAGCAATCATCCCATCAACATAAACTCACGAATGTCACAGTTAAACTGTTTTAGTTATAATTTGATAAACAGTGGTAACGTACATCTACTAGTTTATCACTGTTCCAAGGATGGATTACAGATAATATCATGATAATATCCAATAGCTGTTTGTCCACCATTTTGAATGATACTAACTGGAGTCAAGGTCATCAAGCTATGGAACAGTGGTTTATGAAAATAGATTGGGTTACTAAAGCTTGCAATGTTAAAGGCTATTGAACTATGTTATAGAACAACGTCCAGTACATTATCATATGTAAAAGTATACATTTTTGAAAATACATATAAAGGATCTTCGCCCGCAGGACGTGTATTTTGAATGCCTTGAGAAGAACGCAAATATGGGTAGGCTAATTGGTAACGTTGTTGCAAAAGTAGCATTTAAAAATCTGTTCCTCTCGAGATTTATGGTGTTCTGAAATTATACTATTAATTGGTGTTGCTGCATCATTGCTCAAATCTAGAGGGGTGTTGTTGCATCTTCGGTTTGGTGTTGTTGCATCAATAGTGAGGAACTAAAACCGTGAACTTATTGCTTCTTGGTGATGGTACATGTATACTAATGACAGTTTCTTTAAATATAGATCGTGCGCTAACTGCACGTGTATGGTTATTGAGCAACTCGTCCTACAAATGGGATTAATTGGGGAAACAAAATATCGTACGAAAATCTATCACCGGAAGTCTGGCCATCTTGATGCAACAACACGGTGTTGTTGCATCACGATACTCCCCAGTGATATATGTAAGGGTGCAATATGTAGTCCAGTGTGTAGTAAACAAAGGAGTATTTTGATACACGTATAACCTTGACCTAATAGTTTGATCACTAAAGTATTGTGTCTTGACTTAAAATCTAAATATTTAGAGCATGCCCTGCCATATCTAATAAGCTGGGATGCATAGACACCATATGCTGGGTTTAATGGAATATTACTGTCTAAATGGGGAATATTCACAATATCAAAGCTGAAATCATCTCGTTCATACAACTTACAATATATACTGTTGTCTTGATCAATGTTAATGAGAAGGTCAAGATAAGGCGCATTTTTGTTCGATTCATTGGTCTTTTTTAACTCCAACTCGGAAGGGTATATCTCATTTACAAAATCTTCAAATCAAGGGTTGTCCAAACTCAACAGGTCATCTATATACCTATCTGTTTTATTAAAAAGCTTAGCTGTGTGGAATTTTGTCTTATCTTTCATCATTTTTTTGCAAAAACTTATATTCATACGAGAATAGAAAAAGGTCTGCCAAAAGAGGAGCATAATCTGCCCCCATTGGTATTTCTATATTTTGACGTAAAACAGTATTTCCGAACTTTACATAAATGTTATCAATCAAAAAGCCTAAAACCTCACAAAGTTGTATTGCAGTAAAAGAAGTATACTTTTCATGTTGATCACTAGAAAAGAAAGCTCTATTTGAAATACAATTTACAAATTTGAATCTACTACCTTTCATTGTGTTTTTAATCATTATGTAATGACACCAAACATTTCCTCTTTCAATTTGTTATGGGGAATTGATGTGTAAAGTGTGGAAACATCCCATGTGGAAATACATTTAACTTTCGAATAATTTGGTTGATCAAATTTAGACAAAAGGTCCTTCGAATATTTAAGCTCCGATTTTCACTACGGTGCCCGGCCAATTGAGTATTTTGTCCAGAAATGTATTCAATTTTGAACAGATAACTCAATCGGCGACCGGGCGCCGGCCGATGAATCGCAGCAAATGCGACCCAGGCATTACCCTGTCTGTTTATGCCCTGGTCACATTTGCTCCAATCCATCGGCCGTCGCCCGGCCGATTGAGTGTTTTGTTCAATAATGCATTCAATTGCGAACAAAATACTCAATCCGCCGGGCGCCGTAGTGAAAATCGGTGCATATGTGACCAGGGCATAACAAAAGTAAAACTAGGTGAAACTCGGATTATGAAGACCGGTTATACTTATTTACACTGGAACAGCTACTCCCCCGTGTAACAACTCCAATTTTATTCTCATAAAAATAATCGACACTCTTAGGCGATAGGGGAAAAAAATGATTAAAAGGAAATGTGAAAAAACAACATTTTCCGACTTATCAATTTTTGTGGGTAGATTTGCCACGAAAAAATGGAGCACTACTATCAATTTCTGTGGATAGGTTTACTCCGAAAAAATCGAGCACTGCTCGAAAATCTTTTAACATAGTCAGAAAGCGAATACACACGAAATGAAAATTAGTTGATTTATACTCTATATCCACATTAACCAGACATTGTAATTCTGACATGTTTCCCAAATACACGAACAATATTCCCAATATTCTTTATTGGCTGATTTCAAATCTTGAATATATATTTTAGTGGATCACCCCCACATTTCCCTGTTTCTCAAATGGTAAATGTAAAGTTTCCTCCGGTTCTTAAGGCAGTCAGAATGTATACAACAGAATGTACGCATATTTATAATTATTGGGTATCCGTGTTTGCTACAGAAGACCTTTCAGAACTGCAATTAACTATATTAGAGGCAATACGAAGGGACTTGAAATGAGGAAACATCTAGAATCAACTCACCTGCAACATACATTTCTGATTTTGTAATTAGTGCAAGTCTACCTATACTTTACCCAAGCCTTTAGAATTATGTTGTATTTAAAAGTTGGATTAATACTTGGATTCATGCATCGTTGTAACTCAATAGCAAAAATTGTTGATGGATACTTTGGTGACACAGGTAAGCAAATATTAAGTATGAAATAAATTTACTAACATATCGGTAAAAATCATATTATTTCAACATTTCTTTTTATACAAATCAATATAATTAGTTTTAGTATGTTGCTTGACATGTATGACAAAAATCAAGAAAAAAATCTTAATCCGTTGCTTTAGCAACGGTAACAGAACACTATTTGTTACCGTAGCTCTATTTTGCTGATTTTCAACATTTCTTCATATTCTTGATTCTTAAACTAGTATATAGTATTGACGTGTCGCAAAAAGGTCACGCACGCATTGTTACACATTTTCGCTTTTTAACACCACAGAATGTGACGTTTTTGAGAAAAATGTACACATATGGAAATCCTTTCGTCCTCCATATTTGCCTCTATATCTCATAATGTTTAAGTCGAATAATTCTGATATCGTACATGTATTAACAATGGGATAGGAGCATCATAAAACACGAATCAATTGATATTTTAGGTGAAATAAATATACGTGTTGCTGTGCTTGAAAATAGGCGAATGGCGTAAATTAGCCCTATTTTAATGAATTTTGAAAACCTCTCGTCCTCCACTTTTACACATACAACAGAAAACACATACTTTTGCGAACAAAATCAACTATTTATTAATAAAATAGAGTTTAGGAGCAAAATAATCATGTATGATTTATTTAAAATCGGTGTCGTATTTTTTGTTTAATGTACACCTGAAAAGCTGAAGGTAACAAAAAATGAGCAAAAAAGGTCGCTGTCAACAGATTCTATTTTTCAAACTCTATGACGTCACAATATGGGACGCTTACTAAAATTCATCCTTTATCAGGACGAAAAATAAGTATAATAGTCATATATTGTTTGAGTTATGAGCGTTTAAAGACGAAAAATAATTCAAAATGTAACGTGTCAACAGGGGATATTTGCCAGATGTTTTGGTAAAAAACTCTTTTTTAAAAAAGAACGCGCAAGAATCGTGAACGGAGTGTAGTTGATCTAAAAACCCATTGAAATAGCTTTAAAATGATATATAACTTTAATTAGAATATTATCTTATAATCCGGGGAATCAAAGTTACATTCACGCGATACCCCTAAAAAACAAATGCGCCACCTTTTTGCGACACGTCATTACACTTTAGTATAGGACATATATACGCGTATAATATCAAATGAAATCTAATGAATTCATACAGTAGTGAGGTTGGCATATAGTCTAGACTTTGGCATTTAGAACATGCATCATTATGAAATCTAATGTAATCATACAATAGAGAGGTTGGCATAGTCTAGATTTTGGCATAATGTCTAAATTTCATAAGCATTGGCTTTCCTCATCTGAGCAATCAGACTACTGGGGGGTCCTGTATAGCTTCTGGGGGCCACTTGGGGCCATCGTATAGCTTTTATAGGCACTATGAATATTTGATTTAACATTGAATTCAATTGGATATTTTTGTACCAGTATATGCATATGGTCGTTACGAAGGAAATCAAGTTGGAATTCTCGTACTTAACATTTCATTGGATCTTGTTGTATACTTTTGAATAATCAGTACATTGAGATAAAACCATGTATCAAAGCTATTAAAAATCACCTACAGACTATTGATCTTTTTCTTCAATCGCACATGTGTAGTTTCAATGTTCCAGTTCTCAGTTTTGCAAAGGTATGATGCTTTAAGAATCAAGAATATGAAGAAAATTATGAAAATCAGCAAAATAATGCATTTCTACGGTAACAAATAGTGTCACTGTTGCTATAGCATTGGATTAAGATTTTTTCTTGATCTTTGTCACACGTGTCAAGCATACTAAACTAATATTCGAAAATTTCAAGTTAATATATTTATTAGTGTCTGAGATATGAGGGTGTCTTATAGTATCCCCTGTATATTTTATCAGGGGGTATAAGAAATGCTCTGTAGAGAGTTGCCCAAGGGTGCCGCTCCGGCAACCAATGATTTTGAGGTCCCAATCCTATATTCATGCTGATAAGTTAAAAAAACATTGTAATCCGAAGAAAACGATTAGCTTTGAAGTTTCTGCCAGACTTTTACTTTGCTTTCTTTTTGATAGCATGTTTAAATCAGCGAAAAATTTTCCAAAATAATACAGTTATGTCATTTAAATCATTTTCCATGACGTTTTAAAAAACTTGGCCAAATCTCCATTGGTGCAAGGCTAATATTCTGATCTTTAAAACCTTGATTTATTTGTTTGACAACCAAAAGTTTCATGATTAATCCCAACATAAGTACATTGGCAGGGTCAACCCATTGTATGCCATTTGGGTTTCAGACAGATTCAACCAACCCTTTTCATAAATCATTAAATTGAGTGACTATTACAAGTTAATAACATGGAAGACTATGGCAGTCTGGGCCAAGCAAAACGAAGAATGACAAGGGTGACATCTATTTTCTCAGCATTATTCAGCTATATAGAAACTATATTATTCGAGAGAAAAATCATATTTTCTAGATATCCAAACTGACGACCCCCGTCAGCTAAAATAATGATTACCCAATTAGCATTTGACATGTTTGAATAGGTTTTATTGCCTCATATGCTGTTTTAGCTGGTAGTTTGAAACTGACGGTCGGGGACCGACTGTTGACCCAACTATCCAGTAAATGTGTTTACTTGCGGTCTATCATTTCTGCGGCCGGTAACATTTCTACGCTCGCCGTGGAATTTCTGCGCTCTCATACTTTTGCAGTCACATTTCCCGCGACAGCCCCACGGTGAATTTTAAATTTCTGTTGATGAATAATACTTTTTCATTTTATTTACATCGGGACAATTTATAAATGTTATTCATAGTGCAAGGATGTAATATCAAATGAAAAGTGATCGTAAAACATTGACAAATAATGATTCAATTTTGTTGAGCCAGTTGATTTCCACGGGGACCTCAGAAATGAACAAATATTATAACTCCGAGTTATAATTTCTACGGCGACCCTGCGGCCTGTAAAAAACTGGATACGCCGTACGGAGGCCGCAAGGCGAGCGTAGTTTTTCTACGCTCGCCGCAGAAATTCACCGATTTAATTGATCTGCGGTCGACTTGCAGCCGCCGTGCGACAAATGTGACTGGGGTGTTAGGCATGACAACCAATTCAAACTAGCACTAACACCCCAGTCACATTTCCCACGGCCGCCGTGCGGTCTATCATTTCTGCGGCCAGTAGGTTTTCTACGCTCGCCGTAGAATTTCTGCGCTCTCATACTTTTGCAGTCACATTTACCACGGCAGCCGCACGGTGAATTTTAAAGGACGATTCTCGGTTTGGAGAACGAAGTTCATCAATCTAAATGAGCATTATCCCTGCTTCGGACAAATTTGATTTTTTTACATAATATAGATTTGAATGTCTTCTTTTGAATAGTCATAATTTAATTTGGGTAATATTTCTAGATTTTTCGCAAAAAAATATCAGCGCAGTACACTGATGAACTTCTTTCCCCAAATCGAGACTTGTATTTTATTGAATCGGTCTATTTGAGCATTATCCCTGCTTCAGACCAATTTGTTATTTTTACATCTTGTAGATTTAATTGTCCTCTTTTGAATATTCATAGTTTAATTTGGGTAATATTTCTATATTTTTCATGAAATTTTTTTAGCCCAGGAGGCTGTTCTCCAAACCGAGAATCGTCCTTTCTGTTGATGAATAATACTTTTTTTCATTTTATTTACATCAGGACAATTTATAAATGTTATTCATAGTGTTAGGATGTAATATCAAATGAAAAGTGATCGTGAAACGTTGACAAATAATGATTCAATCTTGTTGAGCCAGTTGATTTCTACGGGGACCTCAGAAATGAACAAATATTATAACTCCAAGTTATAATTTCTACGGCGACCCTGCGGCCTGTAAAAAACTGGATACGCCGTACGGAGGCCGCAAGGCGAGCGTAGTTTTCCTACGCTCGCCGCAGAAATACACTGATTTAATTGATCTGCGGTAGACGCACGCCCTCCGTACGACAAATGTGACTGGGGTGTAAATGACAACATGTTTGCTGGATACCTCGTGTGAGTTTTAATTTGTTTTAAGAAAAGAGAAACAGCATGAAAATAAAGTAAAAATATATTGGATCTAATTTGCACAGGGTTAAACTACAAAGCGCCAAAGCGATTATAACTTTTACATTTTCTGAAGTAATCCTCCTAATCATTATTTCATTGGATATTGTTTGACCATTGTGCATCTGAACAAAGATAAATACCATTGTTGAACTCAATATAAGCTTGTCCCTTCAATATGTTCGGTCTCTAGGTGAAATCATCTTGAATTACTAATGTATTTAGAAATTTTCATGTTTGAAATTCAAACTGGTAAAAAGGCCTCTGCTCTACTATGTATATGTAAAAAGTTCTGTGTTCCCATTTATACTCAACTGTATTGCTCACAAATAAATTATTTGTGTGGTATACTTGATCTTAGGACCCTTGGATCCTTTGATTGAGTGGCCTTTACGTCACTACAGGTTAAGGCTAAGTATTAGTTTTTATCACCAAAGACATGACACTGCAGATTATTTTATTAATTCATACAAATCCAAATGGCAACCTTAGACATTGTAAGAATATTCTATAAGCCGATTGTTGACTTAAGTGTTTACTTCTCTTAACGTACAAGACAAACAAGTTGTCAATGTTGAACAAAAACATTATTTTCCTCTTGTTTGGTTTGTTCAAGTAAAAACCAAGGTGTTGTGGAAAATGATGATGATCTAGTCTTCCTATGTTTGGTTATGTATCAAGTATCATTCTTTTCTCCATCCTATGAAATACATGCCTTCAAGCAAGTCTTATTATTCTCCAATACTTTTCCCTAGAAACAAAAAAGTCTACTATCATATTAAAGATAACGATCACTAATGTCGACAGAATGACAAAATAAATCAGATTAACTCATCAATTCTTCTCAGAATGTCAACAGAAAGGGGGTGTATTACTGTAGATGTATTTGATGATAACATTATTACTAATAACTA